GCACCTCTTCTGTGCCAGACATCTGACATCGGTCTCCTCTTTTTTTTTTTTAAGAGATTTTTGCTATAGGGCACATGTGCTTGCCGAAGAGACAGAGACAGACAAACAGAAAGCAAGAAGTCACCCACCCCCTCCCAGGGGGAGATGGACATGCAGCAGTCCCTTCACCTCCATTCTCTCAGGATTTGGGGCACACGTGCACATGTGTCCAGCATGAGTTTTAAGCTGCTGGGCCTGGCACTCAAAGTATGATCGGGCATGTGAGAGTCCAGCACCTTCACCACCACTACACATGCTGGCCCCTGTCTCCTCATTTAATCTTTGCAATTGCTCGTAGAGTAAGTAGGTTTGTTTATTTCTAAGTACAAAGTAGGTGCAGAGTTGAAGGAGTGAAAAATGGGAAGAGCTTTTAGATATAATATAGAACGGATCAAATCCAATTTGAAAATGACTCCCAGAACCTTTGACATGTAGCAGCTTTTTTTCTTTTAATTGCCAGAGGGCTTGTGAGCTGCCATCGCTTCTCTGTTTCTCCAGCCTGTTGGGCTTTGGAGCATGCAGGCACATGGACCCAGCGTGTTTTGCAAGTTGCTTAGGGCTAGGATTCGAACTACTGTGGTCAGCCATGTGCGATCCAGCTTTCTCAACCACTAGGCCAGGGCCAGCCAGTCAAGTTAGTGACCTTTATTTGATAAACGTTGTCTTACGAGGTTCGAGATTAATGGGAGCAAGTGCTGAGGACAGTGTGTGTGTATGTATGTATGTATGTATGTATGTACGTATGTATGTATATGCATAAACACCAACACATGCTTGGTTGAAAAGTGAAACTTCATTCACATTTGTGTTTTATATCCTAATGTTTCTGTGAATACCCATCAATTAAAGGGGAAAGGAATAGGGCCAGGAGATGGCTCGGAGGTTGGGGCAGCTGGATCCCACATAGCCAACTGCATGGTTCAAGTCCCAGGCCTGGTAGCTTGAGGATCACACCAGGTGTGTGTGCCTGTGTACCCAAAATCCCAAGAAGCGAATGAGGAACAGGGATTGCAGTGGGCCATCCCCCCGGGGAGGGGAGTGGAGTTCTCATTTCTCACTTTCTTTTTTTTTCTTAAAAACTTATTTTTATTTAAGTTTATTTATTTATTCATCCATTTTCATTTGACCAGAGGGTTAGAGAGAAGGAAAGTGTGAAAGCAAGCTGCCAGGTCCGGGACTCAGACCATGGTCAGCCGTGTCAGAGTCCAGCACCCTTAGCCAGCATGCTACCTACAGTCTCAGTTTCTCACTTTCTCTCTCTCTAGCTGAGTAAAAACAATAAAGGGGGATGGGGAGAGAACAGCAAGTTCAGGGGCAGTGACAGGCAGATTAGGGGACAGGACGTGTACTTTACTCGTGAGCAGCCAAGACGGCTTATTACTGTGCGGTGAGCACTCACACGTGTGGGTCGTCTCTTCTTGTTAGCTATTATGAGTCATGCTGTGAACGTTCATGCACCAGTTTGTACAGAAGCAGGTTTTCATTTCAGTGTTGGCTTGCAGCAGAATTACTGGTTCACATAGTAATTCCGTGACTACCTGTTTTCTTTATTCGTGATAAAGTACACACCGTGCACACAAACGAGAGGTGAGCTCCCTCCACGGGGTCTGGTTAAACATGATCCCCTTTCTCCAGTCCTCCAGCCCAGCGGGTCTGGGCCACTCGAGTGTGTGCCCTAAGGGTTTCAGGCTGACCAGGCTGGGCATTTGAGCTGTGGTTGCCATGTGGGATCTGGCTTCTCTTGGGCGGCAGGTTACCACTGTACCACAGAACCATCCCTATTATCTTCTCTTTGATTATAGGTCCCTAATCTTTTTATTACGTCCCTCCTCCTCCCACCCTGACATTTAGCTCCAACCACATGTCAGTGTAGCACTGCCAGCCCACTTGCTGGCTTCATGGTCAGGAATGCTGTCTGCCTGACTTGGGTTTCTCACCTCTCTTTAGGGAGCGGTTTCACAATGGAGTCACAGGGTAAAGTTTTTGAACTTGAGTGTTAAAGTCAAATAGACTTGGATTCAAATCCTGGTCATTCAGTTAAATATCTGTGTGCCCTTGGGTAAGTCACTTTAGAATGTCCCTGGGCTTCAGTGTCCTCATCCATGAAGGCACTGCCTCTGACCTCTTGGGGTTTTTAAAATGAATTTGCAAAGTAAACTGAATAAAGCTGGGTGAATTTTAACTCTTTTCTAGTGGTACGTGTGAGCCCTGTTACTGTCAACTGAGATCCCCCAACAGTCCAGAGGGCCTGTCTGTGGGCCAGACAGTGGGCACGGTGGCCCAGAAAACACACACCAGAGGTGTCCCCATGTCTCCTTCCATCCGTGTACCAGGATCCAGACCATGGTCAGCCGTGCAGGACCCGGCTCCCTCGGCACAGTTGCCACAGGGCTGGCCCTGGAGCATCGCTTTTTAAAAATTTCTAGTGAAAAGAGAGAGTGCTGATCATCAGATACTAAGTACACCACAAAACAAGGTCTAAAATAGGGCAATCGCTGTGGATTTAAAATTTGGTGGAAAGACACCTGCAGAGATGGCTCCTGTTTCTGAGCGCTCACCCTGGGCAGAAAACGAGATGCAAAGGCACTCCCAGGGAGGACAGGCCTGCTCACCAGTGAAAGCTGGGAATGTTTTCGGATCCGTCTGCTCCGCCACATCCGTGCAGGAAGAGTTTCAGCATGAAACAAAGCGGTACAGGGCCAGCCATGGCAAGGTGGTTAAGGCAGCTGGCTCCCACACAGCACACTGTGCTGTTTGAGCCCTGGACCCGGTGGCTTGAAAAGCACGCCAGGTTGGGGCCGGCAGGTGGCGCGGCTCTTACGGGCGCTGGACTCCCACATGGCCAACCGTGATTCGAGTCCCAGACCTGCTGACCTGCTTTCTCACTTTCCCTCCTCTCTCTCACTCTGTCCCTCTCTGGTCAAATGAAAATAAAGTTAAATAAAATAATTCTTTAAAAAAAGAAAAGAAAAGAAAAACATACCAGGCACGTGTGCGTGCCCAAAATCCCGAGAGAAGGTTGGAGGAGAAGGGGTCACAGGATGGCCATCTCCCCAGGGGGTGCTTTCTCACTCTCTCTAGCACGTGTGCTTTCTCTTTATATAGATCAGTCTCTCTGGCGAGCACACATGCCCCATGGCAAATGCTTTCAATGTTTGAGGTCGTTCTGATGGTTTGGGGTTTTGGTTTTTGGTTTGGGGTGGGGTTTCTTTGATTGCCAAGTCCCCTGAGGCTCACCAGCTGGTGTTAGGTGTTGCTGTCTTAGTGGTGGCTTAGTCCCCTGTAGGGAAGACCCCTGCCTAGCTGCCCTCTGTCTGACGGAGAGGCTTCCACGCTCATCACCAGAAGCTAGAGGCACGTTCATTCTTCCCTCTCTCCTACCCTTTGCTCCTAGTGTTTGGACTGCGTGATCTTCAACTTTTTCCTGCCTCTTGCCTGGGCCTGGTGTGCTCCCTTCACACTAGCCAGGCAGCTCATTTCCTAAGACACCACGTACACCCGTCACTCCCCACTCAGTGACTGCTTCAGGCCTACTCACTGTCTTTAGAATCCCCGCTCCTCTCCCCACCTCCACCTGCTCTTTTCTCTCTCGTTCTCTTTTTTTTTTCTTTTTTGGGGGGTGTGATTTTGCTATAGGGCACTTGTACTCATCAGAGAGACAGAGAAAGAAAGGGAGAAGGAAAGGGAGAAAGCACCCCTCTTGGGGGGGATGGCCACACCGCACCCTCGTCTCCATTCTCCTCTCAAGATTTTGGGCACACACGCACACGTACGTGGTGTGTTTTTCAAGCCACCAGATTCAGCGCTCAAACCACATAGTCAGCCACATGAGATCCAGCTGCCTTCACCAGCATGCCACCAGCTGGCCCTCTGCCTACCTCTGGAGGCCGGATTTCCCTCTCCTCCGATGTAGGTGTACGACTCTAGCACGTTGAGTACATGTACTCTACTCTTCACCTGTGGCCCTGAGCACTAGAGGTACATGGTGAACGAAACAGCCCACTCCCAAGGAATCTTATCTCTGCTCTTCTCCCTGGTTTTCACGGAGCTACTGCCACAGTGGCCTGCTCCCTGCCCCTCAGCCATGCTAAGTTAGTCCCATCTTGAGAACTTTCTACTTGCTGTTTCTTCTGCTTAAGATACTCTGACCTCCACATCTTCAGAAGTTCTGTGTGAATCACTGCAGTTTCAGTCCTCCTCGTGAAAAATGTTGAGCTGGAAAGAGGCCTTCCCTCACCATTCCAGTGTCAGCAGCTTCCAGACACTCTTCCGTGTTGTCCCTATGGACCTACGATGTATCCATACCTGAAATGCTGTGGCTTTTCTGTATACCCCGCCACACACACACGCACACACACAGAATGTGTACTCCTGAGGACGGGTACACTGTCTTGCTTTCCACAGCATTCCTTATACTTTCAACATGCCTGGTACACAGCAGGCTCTCAGTAAACATTTGTCGACTGAAATGCCCCAGACCTGTGGGTGGCCATGGAAGGATAGGCCCCTCCAGCTCTGGCATTCTAGAGCTCTGAATCCTGACCATCCAGGTGAGTGGTGTGAGTTGTCCATGTTGGATAAGCCACTGGTTACTGGTCAGTGTTCATTCCTGTGCTGTTTATCCTCTGAGGAGGTCTGCTTCGTTGTCCTCAGTTTGGCCTCTCCCATGGAGTACGAACTCTCTCTGTTGACTATGCTCGGAGCTAACCAGGGCCGCTGGCATTGCTGCAAATACTGTGTGCTGAGAAGATTGGAAGAACCATGTTGCTGTATGGTTTGGCCTTGTGACAAGCTGCCCTTTCCAAGGACTAAGCTATACCCTCTGGCATGCCCTATAACCCCTGGCCACTCAATTTCTTTGTGCTTTTATTTTCTCCCTTTGCAGAATGGGCTTTGGAGATTGGGTGTAGATACCAGGAAAGATAGAGATTTTGCATAAAACTCTAACTTTTTCCTCTTAGATGTGAACGATTAGAAGAACAACTAAATGACCTAACGGAGCTCCACCAGAATGAAATCTTGAACTTGAAGCAGGAGTTGGCCAGCATGGAAGAGAAAATTGCATATCAGTCCTATGAGCGGGCCCGGGACATCCAGGTTAGCATGAAGTATAACATCAGAACACGAGAGGGTCATAGAGGGAGAAAAGATAGGAGGTGGAGTATCAGGAGAAGATTAGAACACCTGTAGTAAATGGACTCTTCAAGTGGCTGAGGGGCATCTCTCAGAGGCCTGTACCACTGGGGGCATACACACGCTTGCTTGAGTTCTTGGGAATGTCGTTGGGGTCACAGGTCATCTCAGCATGTAGACAGCCACGTGCCTGCATCCGTTGGTTACTGCGTCAAGAGCTGCTCTTGAAGTCTTACGGCCATCTCGCCAGTCTTCTCCTGTGGGAAGTGGGCTTTGTCCCCGGTGCCAGCTCAGATGTCTTAGAGGCACACTGCCAGGCAGTCAGTGAGAACAGCCCCTGAGGCAGTACTGTTGAAGGCTGGTAGTCGTCCGTCTGCTCTGTGGGGAACGTGAATATTTAATTCGTTCTTAGTTCTAGGGTAAGAGTTCTCGGTGGTCTCACATGAAAGCGTCTCGGAAGAGAAGTGGCCAGGACCTAGGGGAATTGAGGGCATGTATGGCTCCTTTCTCCAGCGGCCATGAACTCTGATTTAGGTTTTTTTCTTCCCAAAGTTGTCCTGGACTGAGCCGTACCCCCTGTTCATCCGTTCTCAACTGGTTTCCATCTGAAATTGCCTAAACCTTACTTCAGATACCAGGAAACCAGGACCCATTGACACAAAGGCCAGAAAAACCCAGAGCTCCACCCACTGCTGAACGTTGGCCAATACCTGACCATAGCCAGGGAAACGGGTCTGTCCCCTGGGTCTTAGGGTGAAATCCATATGAACTCATAGGTGGGGAGGGCCATGCATGACGCTGAGGACAGCAGAGTCCTTTAAAGGTTCAGTCTACTATGCGGGCATAGTCATCCTCACAGAGGTCCCCTGAAAGGGACTGAGTACTCCCTTCTTAAGGCAGAGTCAGAGGTCCCTTCCATTACTGTCAAGGATTGACTTGACTCAGAAAACACCAGGTACATGCACAAGGAGGTCTGTTCACTGTATTGTTTTCACAGTGGAAAAGTTGGAAACACCCTAACATCCCCAAGAGGGAACTGGCTGAATAGAACTATGACATATCTGTATTGTAAAATGCTACATAGTGGTTAGAAAGAGTGAAATGGATTTCTACATGTTGACATGGAGAGAACTCGCCAAGACCTACTGTTGAATGAAAACAGCAAGTCGTAGACCAATCCCTATAGTATGGTACTATTTGTGTCCAAACAAGAAATAAAAACAACAATTCTATACATTTCCCTAGGAACACATACTTACACACTTAAACACAGGTAAAAGGGCGAACACATCAGTGTTACTGTGTTACTGGGTGGGCAGGGACCAGAGTTGAAGAACATGTCAAGAGAGACTGTGTTCTATTTGAAATGTTTTATGGTGAACAAGCGTGTGTATTCTATGCAACCTGGAGTAATCAATTTTAAGCGAAAAAAGAGAAATCATTTATTTGAGGTCTTATCATTAAAATATCTGAACCAAATAAGGTGACCGTCCCACAGGAATGCAGTGGAGGGCAATTTAGGGGGATAAAGGTCACTTGAATCATGCAGTGTGCATCTGGCCTCTCGGGGTCAAGGCTGTAGCTTATTTTAAATCGTTGTGTAGCTCAGGGTGCATCTGGCATGCCCAAGCAAGTGGAAGGCTAACTCTCCCCTGCTCCGGCCCGCAGGAAGCCCTGGAGGCCTGCCAGACCCGCATCTCCAAGATGGAGCTGCAGCAGCAGCAGCAGCAGGTGGTGCAGCTGGAGGGGCTGGAGAACGCCACCGCCCGCAACCTGCTGGGCAAGCTCATCAACATCCTCCTGGCCGTGATGGCGGTGCTCCTGGTCTTCGTCTCCACCGTGGCCAACTGCGTGGTCCCCCTCATGAAGACTCGCAACAGGACGTTCAGCACTTTACTCCTGCTGGCTTTCATTGCCTTTCTCTGGAAGCACTGGGACGCCCTCTTCAGCTACGTGGAACGGTTCTTTTCACCCCCCAGATGATGCTGGCCTGGAAGGCAGTGCTCCCCACCCTCTGGCGAGTGCATGCAGCGAGAGACAGCCACTTACCTATTCGGAAGTTTTCTACAACAGAAGAGTTGAGTGAATCTGTTTACATTTAGAATAATGTTTTTTTCTTCAAGAGATGCAATTGCAATAGTATTTTTTAGATTTTATCCAAGAAGTTTTTTGGGCAAAAATCTTGGATCATTTTTATGTAGCATGGTTTTCCTTGGGATGCAAAACTGAACCAGTCCTTTAACAAGAACCAACAATCTGGAGCACACTGAAGGGCATTCTACATGGTGGCTTGAAGGACTGCACTAAAACTCACCGAAAGGTCGAGAAACCTGCGGAGGGTAAACCAGGGAAACGTAACACCACGCCTCGTCCCAGCTCACCACCTCTCCCCGCCCCAGACTGACTTTACTGTGAACGCCTGCCACATTCCCCGTCGGAAGCTTTGGATTCAGGGTAGATTTCCCTTGTCCGTGGAAGAACACGTGGATCTCCCTGGCTTTCTTACCCACGCTGGCCAACCCTGGAAGGATGATCACTTTAGAACCTGGTCCCTTAGCGTCTGCTAGGATACGGAAGTGAGATTATCGTGGCCCCAAGGATCACTGCACGGTCCTCTGCAGTATTTTGAAGTAGCCCTCTACATACTTAATTTTAAGCAAAATCCCTTGGCCGCACTTTTAAGGTATATATATATATATGTGTGTGTGTATATATATATACACATATATATATATATATATATATATATATATATATAGTTACCAACTGAAAAAAATAAATCCAAACAGCATACTTGAAGAATGTAATACTCAAACTCTCAGTGCTTCCTTATGGTTTCTAATAGGATTTTTTATTATTGTTATTATTATTATTGGGTTTTTTTGGAAAGGGTTGGGGGGGTCTTTTATTTTTCCTTTGAAATAAAGAAGTGATGTTTTTAAATGAAGAAATGTGTGGATATTTAAGCGTGCTGCTCTCTGGTCTTGAAACAGTTGGAGGAAGAAAGATTTGCTGTAAATGCTGCCCTCTGCCGCCCTTGTCTTGAGATGCAGCTTCGACCCCCTTCTCTGGCTGCCGTGGCTGGCTTTGGGGGTGCCCCCCCCCCCCCCCGC